AGGAAGTGCGGGGACTCAGGGAGACATGTCCACATATATCCCGCATCCGTTATGTCCGTGCCTTCACTGCCCAGGGCCCTTTGGAGACCGTGGGCCCCTGGGCAGTTGCCCAATTGCCCATATGGTTAATCCGGCCATGCCCAGGGCCCTTTGGAGACCGTGGGCCCCTGGGCAGTTGCCCAATTGCCCATATGGTTAATCCGGCCATGTATATAACGAATAAATCTAACAGAAATACAAATGATCTTTTCCAAATTATATTTTATGTAGCATTCAAAACATACATAACCTTTCCTATGCCTTACACTTTATTAAAGTTTTTATTCATTATTTCTTAGAGAACATTTTTTCATCAGTGATAATGAAACTTTTATTAATGTCATGTGAAAACTGCACTAAGTAATGTCACGTGAACAGAAACGATATAACTGTCAAAATATCACATTTGTGGCCAAACAGAATGTTAAAGAAGGCCAGATTTGGCCTGCAGGCCTTGAGTTTGACACCTGCTGTAGAGGAATACTTTTACATACACTTTTTTTACTGTTTTAGTTAAATGAGGTATTGCAAGTATTTGTTCATATCCATAAAGCTATTTTAAAATCCCCCTCAGCAGTGCTGTCAGAATCAGGTGTGAATTTTAACAGATTTTTTTTTTGTTTTTGTTTGTTTCTTCTGTCATTTTGTTCTAGTTAAGAATTATTCTTGTTTCATGAACTCACAATAGTTCAACATTTGTCTGTAATACTGTGATCCACAGAGGAGTTCACGGTCTGCTCAGGTCAAGCAGCTGTAAAACAAACTATTATTACTCCAAAACCGTGCCCAACTGTTGGTATGTTGTGTTTCTGTTGATATTATTTGTTTTTTTCCAAACATTTTGCTGTAATATGTGTTGCAGCTGAGCTCATGGTTTTTTGTCTGAACATTACACGGTCTGAACTTGGGTTAAATTTGCTGAGACTTCCACTTCTGGGAAGATTACAGCTGTCCTAAATGTTTTCCACTGGTATAAAATCTTTTTTTCACTGTAAAATAATGAACAAATTGTTTAGAAGGGGCCTCATAACTCTTTTCAGACTGATGCAACAGTTGCTCCTTCCAGCTGGTAATCTGAAACATTCTCCTCTAGAAGCAGTCTTTTTTTTTTTTTGCATTAAAGGCACAGTGTGTAGGATTTTGTCAATTCTTTTAGCCGAAATTGAGATAATCACTAATGACAATAATAAAAAAACATGTCTAATCATTGCAGACAAAGAACTTGTTTTATTATTTTTACCTTATAAAAAGCTGTTTATATCTCCATGGTCGCGGGTCGCCACACAGGCAGCCGCCATCTTGTCTACGAAGGCTCATGAAGAACTGCGGTGGCGGCGTCAAAAACGGTTTTAGTTGTAATACTATAAATGTAATATTTGTTGYCTGTCATTGTAGCTGGGATAATTTTACTTATTAAAGCTCATAATCTTACCMCTTGAAACATCACTAGCCCTGAAGCTGCTGGTAGACATCGCGGTTGGAATTATCAAAGGTTTTTGACACCTGAGAGACACCGTAGCAACTCCTTTGTGTTTGGAAGCGGTGGGTGGGGGTGGGGGGAGGACCAGGGAGGATGATTCATCCACTCAACCACTAGATGTCTCTGAAAACAACAAATCCTACACACTGTGCCTTTAAGACTTCTTTCATGAAGGGGCTGCAGTAGCTCAGTTCCCTGGTCTCATGATCCTTAGGTTGCTGGTTCAAGTCCTGGTTGGGTCATGAAGGAAAAGTAGTTAAAAAAAGTCAAGTTTTTGTGCACATTTACTCCCTGTAATGTCCCCTGCAGAAGGGAGCAGCTGAAAGGAAGGAAAACAGCTTTGTTGCTATGACACTGTATTATACTACTGTGTTATTGTTCAGAATGAATTTAGCTAATGTTACCATTCTGTAGGAAAAGCTTCATTCAATAAACTGATATGCAGAATTAAACAAACTGTTGGATTAAAGTTGAGTTCTTTAGTTTAACATGACTAATAATTGTCCATGATAATATTTAACTCCTTCTCTTTCATTACAGCCAAATATTTTATTAATTTCATTAAAAAACAACATAACTATACAATAAAACAAAGAAAATACATTAAACAAATCAAAAATCAAAAATGAAATGAAAGGTAGCAGAAGAAAAATAAATTTTATAATGTTTGCTTTATCCTCATAATACTGTATATTCAAACAAAAAAAAAAACTAAATAAAAACGTAAACTCAAACAACCATTTATAAAAATTCACATTATACTTTTCCATATACCTTCAGAAAAACTAGCTTTTATCTTTTTCTTAAATATGGACATAGATCTGGCACTTTTGACATCATCCTCCAGACCATTCCACAACCTTATTCCCACTACTGTAATATTTATTTTTCACAAATAGCGTTTTTTATTGAGAACAAAGCTTTTGAAACACAAACCGTTAATATAAGATGTTACATTAGAAGATCTATAGATTGCTTATTTGAATGTCTGAACAATTCGGATTTTTCTTCCTTGGTTGGAGGCATCATGATGATGAGTTTGTTATTTTGACTTACTCAGCAGCTGAGTCTGGAGTTGAGATGAACTCGTTCGTCTGACGGGAAAACCTTCTTTATACATTAATAAAACATCGGAGTAAAACATCTACAGCAGACACTTTATACTGCTTTTTATCTCTTTAATGCAAGGCTGTTTGTAGTGATGCAAGGGGATGTGTACAGTGTCCTGATGTGTGTGTGTGTGTGTGTGTGTGTGTGTGTGTGTGTGTGTGTGTGTGTGTGTGTGTGTGTGT